GCATCCTTCTAGAATATATCACTGTGCTGCTGATTTTTAATACTTCTACGTACTGTAAGTTTGTGTGATCAGCAAGAATGGTAATTTTATTATCTTTCTCATTTTCCAGGTCACTAATAAACAAGTTGTATCCTGTATCACAAGACTACTAACTTTAGCCAGTTTAAGACATGTTGTATTTAGTACAGGGTAGTCTTTTTTTTATTTTTTTTCTCTCCTTTTGTATGTTACTGTTTTTTATCTTTAGCTGTTTGCAAGCAGGTGTAACCTCCTTAGATCATTTTGGTAACCATTGGTGAAATATTTCCACTATAACAATCAGTTTCAGTAAGTGACCTAGCCAAAACAAAGCTAGGGTGAGATATCATCGTACCCAATGGAGTCACCATGGGGTTGAGCAAACAAACAATTGTTGAGACCTGATGAGATAGACACAGTTGCTACTGTTTTACGGGGTAGATACACTGTGGAGAAATATTACTATTGAGTCTCTAAGTTGGGCCATACATTATTCAGTTTTTCCATTCAATCAGTGGGTTGACTCGATTCCCCCATCCAACTCAAGGTGGCTGGGGGAATCCTCCCGCTGAGCTATTGTATTCTGACAGTGGAGAGAGCGTGGAAAATCCAACATGGTGATTGTACAGAAGTCCCGGCTGAACTGGCTGAATTTCTATCCATGTATGGCTGGCTAAAGAGGTATGAGGCCTCTGTAGGAAAAGCACTCCTTCACCAATTTCCTGCACTAATTTAAATTAAAAATAAAGTGTCCAGCCAAACGTTTTTAATGGCCAAAAGTTTAAAAGGAATAAAGCCAGTGAAGGGTTAGACTCCCTTTCAGGATTCTATGGTTGTCCAGGGCTCCATTGGAGAAATTTTCCTTGACTTCCTGCTCTGCTGACAGTGTTTTACCAGACTAAAAACAAGGGGAGTTTTCCAACATCAACACGGACAGAAGATTCTTCAGTAGACTAAGGAAAGACTAGAACCCCTGCCAGATTTTTATTTGGAAAATCCAACATGGTGATTGTACAGTAGTCCCTGCTGAACCAGCTGCATTTCTATCCATGTATGGCTGGCTAAAGAGGTATGAGGCCTCTGTAGGAAAAGTACTCCTTCACCAATTTTGTGCACTAATTTTAAATTAAAAATAAAGTGTCCAGCCAAATGTTTTTAAAGACCAAAAGTTTAAAAGGGATAAAGACAGTGAAGGGTTAGACTCTTTTTCAGGATTCTATGGTTGTCCAGAACTCCATTGGAGCAAGTCTCCCTGACTTCTTGCCCTGCTGACAATGTTTTACCAGACTAAAAACAAAGGGAGTTTTCCAACATCAACACGGACAGAAAATTCTTTCGTAGACTAAGGAAAGACTAGAACCCCTGCCAGATTTTATTTGTCAGTTTTCCTGTTGAAAGCTTTTCCTTCACTTCTGTTTAGTGAAACTGGTGTCAGCAGAACAGGAAGTGAAGGTAAATGGAGCCCTTGATAGTAATATCAACCCATCAGGAGTTCTAAACTTTTCTTACTTTATCAGAAACTAGAAAAGATTTTGGCTTGACAAAGAGTTTACTGCTACATATCCTAAATGTATATTTGTGGGGGAAGTGCAAGATTAACCAAATTGACCTTTTGCTTTTTTTTTTTTGTCTGAAATAACTTTATAAAATTCATATGAAGGGGTTAAGTTAGAACTTACTTTAGCTTAAATGATTTTACGAGACTAACTGTTCTAATGGGGCTAAGCTGCACAAACATGCTGTTCCCTTATACTGTATGCATTTAAATTGTCAGGGTTTTCATGTCAAAAAGCAGCCTATGTTCTCTATGTGGAGTGCAAAGAGGTTTGTGTACAATTTGAAGCAATTTTATGAATCGGTGTCCCAGCAGGCATTAGAATAGTAAAATGGACTGAAATCTGCATAAAACATTCAGGTGAAACAAAACAGCAATCTGAAAATTGTACTTCGAGCTGTGAAGGTTTTTAGGCCACCACTACGATTGATGACATTTGATATGACAGTTTGAACCCACAAATTTTACAGGAAAGCTTGAAAAGGTCAAATAAACCTAAAGATGAATTAGAATAAAAGAAAGGTCTGTTAATACTATGTAAAGCCCTAGAGGTGAAGATTTTAGAAACTTGAGATTCAAGAACTTTTCGTGCTTTAAAGGATAAGTTCACCTTTCATAACATGTTACATTCAGGGTGTAACATGTGACATGGTATGATTAGACTGGCCCCCGCTACTCTGCTTTGACAGCTAGTGGGAGATCTTGTTACCCCCCCCCCCCCCCCCCCCGTCGTCGGGCCGCGTCATTCAGTCACCTCCCAGCACAAAGACCGCGGTGTCACTGAGAGCCCCGGGTCCTGTTCTACCGATCAGGACTCGGGACTCCTGATATCGGGCACATGATTGCTGTGATAGCCTCTGATTAGCTATCACAGTGATCAGTCACTGTGAAGCCCGGCCCCCTTGTTTTTTTCTCTCTATATGAATGGAGGAGAGGGATATATTGTATTTTTCTAACTCCTGGCATAGAGGGAAAAAAATATGTTTGTAAAAAAAATAAAAATAAATATTAAAAAAATAAAATAAAAAATTAAGAAAAAAATACCTAGATCAAGGTTTGGATTTCAACTTTGAAGCAAACTCGTTGAAAATAAACCTGGGCAGTTCAAACTGAGTGTATGATGTTCAAGTTTGTGATAGGGTTACTTTAATTGATAATTGAAATGGTAGCTTAACCCCTTGACGCCGACGTCACACAAATATGCGGCCTCACAGAACTGGGCTTTTTTCCGTGGGGCCACATATATGCGTACCTGTCTTTCTGCTGGGAGCACGCTGCACAGCGCGCTTCCAGCACTAAGACCATGGTGTCGCTGAGAGCCCCGGGTCCCATTCTAACGAACGGGACCCGGGGCTCCCGATTCTGGGTCACGATTGCTGTGATAGCCTCTGAATGGCTGTCACAGTGATCAGGCACTGTACAGCCCGGACCCCTTGGTTTTTTTTTCTCTCTGAATGGAAGAAAAAGATACATTGTATCTCTCTCTCTCCATGCAGAGAGGAAAAAAAACACGAATGTAAAAAAATAAATAAATAAATATTAAAAAATAAAATAAAAAATAACTAGATCAAGGCTTGATCTAGTTCAGTGCCAGGGTTAGAGTTTGTGCTAATGTCAGAGTCTAGGTCAAAGATCAGGTGTGTTTTTTTTGCTTGTTTGTTTTTTAAATTGGTATCAGTGTCAGTTAGTGTCAGTGTGTTTTTAGGTAAACAAAAAAACAAAATGTGCACTATTGTTTCTAGGCTGTACTACGGGTACAAATAACATGTATGGTATTGCTGCAATTGTCAAGAGCTGGAAATTTTATTTTGGGTTGTTCTTTAGTGGTAGGTTATGGGAGTAACAAGAAAAACACAGCTACATTAAAAAAAATTTTTTTTTTTACTATTTTGAGCCAGTTTTCCTTGGATAATTAAAAAAAAAAAATCCGCGGATATACATTACTATTTACCACCACATGAAAGCCCAATTTGTTCTGAAAAAAAAAAGTATAATTCATCTGGATGTGCAAAGTAGCTGTGATGATATGTATGGTTTTACTAACACATGTTAAAGTTGTAAAATTTGACTTAGGTCCCATGTACTTGGGACACTTCTGAACGATGGAAACTGACTGCCGGAAAACGTAGGTTAAAAAAAGTCTGCCTAGCCGTGTTTGCATAACGCATTTAGAAGCGTTTGCGTTTAGAAGCGTTTTTTAAAGATAAGCACAGGAGAACCTCCCAAATGCCCAGAATGCACTGAAAAGTGGTAAATTATTAACCATTTCAGACTGTTTCAGAGAAATACAGAGCGTAGAAGCAGTGATAGCAGTATGTGTTGAGATTAGCTTAGGTGTGAGTTGCTCATTAACATTTCTTTTGTCTCCAAGGGTGGGAAAGGTGTCTGGTGGAGTGAGTCATTAATGCCACCTGGCAGGGGGGTCTTCAAGAGGAATTTGTGATTCCAAGGGTGGGAGAGCTCTGAGGTGTGAATTGGTCATTACAATGTGTGACAAGCTTGGTAGGAACATCCTGTGTTCAGTGTTTTGTCCATTTGAGTACCTTGAAAACGCTTTGCATGCATTTTTCATGATAAAAAAGGCTCTGGACAGCATTGAGAACTGGAAGAGTTAAAAAAAAAATTTAAAACGCAAACGCTTATAAACGCAATTTGCTGCGTTTAGACGTGTTTGCCGTTTGAAACGCTGATAAAATCAACTGCTGAACACAAGTTTTCCGCGTTTAAAAAAATAACTGTAAACTCAAATGCCAGTAAATGACTGTAAACGAAGATGTGTACATGGACACATAGAAAAACATTAGGGTGAGTTCAGGGGCTGCTGAAAAAAAATGCTGAACAGCTCCTAAACGTGAGTTTATCAGCTGCAGTGTACATGAGCCCTTAGGCGTTAAGATTTGTATTACCCTTAGGCGTGAAAGGGTTAATTAACAGGGATTATCTCTTGCTTCCTGTTATGGCAATGGGGCCAGACTTGAAGGTAAATTTCCCCAATGGGACACAGATGGCAAAATATAAACTGACAGGGATTATAACTCTCTCTATCCAAAATGGAAAAAAAAAATGCCTCTAGTTCCACTTTAATGCTCACTAGTTTTGTGACAGGAGCAGCAACTGCTTTTCTGGAAGCAGAAGGGGACAACACAATACACTGCATAGCAGATGGTGCTGTTATTTCCAGGGTAGTATTGTTCTGTAGGGTAGTATTGTTCTGTAGGGTAGTCTTGTTCTGGGGGGTAGTCTTGTTCTGGGGGGTAGTCTTGTTCTGGGGGGTAGTATTGTTCTGGGGGGTAGTATTGTTCTGGGGGGTAGTATTGTTCTGGGGGGTAGTATTGTTCTGTAGGGTAGTATTGTTCTGTTGCAACTTAACCTAGAGTTTCACTTACAAGTGTGTACATTGACAGACTTGTTGTACTTTAATTAACAGGCACAACATAGGATTTCCTATAGCGGAATGCACCTCGGATGGGAATTTCACCATAACGAAGCCACGGGAAAGCGGAGGTCTTATCTCATTTGGCACGGTTGCAGAGCAGTTAGTTTATGAAATTGGTGATCCTCGACACTACATTCTGCCAGATGTCTCTTGTAACTTTTCCCATGTTACGATTACTGAAGTTCAAGGTATGCATGAAAACAACGCAAATGTGTTTTCAGTTTCTTAACAGAGTTTATGATTTGGGTAGAAGGAAACAAAGTGGATATAAAATAAATGTGGACAAATCCTTTAAAAATTCAAACTATCTTCAATGGCCACTAGCAGGACAGAAATAATACGTACAAGTGTTCTGACCTGCTGAGAGTATATATAATAAATATCTCTTATTTTTCAATTGGTAGCTTATTTTCATTCTTTATTGTACCTAAAATAATTGACTTTTAACCTACATACACACTGAGCCGAGGGTTTTTCATGCATTTTTTCAAGCGTTTTTTTCAGGCGTTTTTGGTCAGATTTGCAAATATTCTAGGTGTTTTTTTCAGGCGTATTTCAATTATGTGTATTTGCTGTGACCAATAGAAATACTGTAGCTGCTATTTGAGCTGAAAACGCCTGAAAAAAGGCTTGAAAAAACACTCGCTCCCACTGTTCAGGCATTTTCCATTCAAGTCTATGGGGACAAAATGCTCAGATCTGCCTAAAAAGTAGTGCAAGTACTTTTTTTGAGTGACTGACGTTTCGCTACAGACAACAGAACACTCAAGTGTGAACAGGGGCCCTTAGAAAGAATGGAATTTTACTTGTTGAGCATTTCTGAGCTTCAGGCTGAAAAACGCCCAAGTGTGAACGGGGTCTTAATTGGCAGAACAAACTATTGCTATATGTGTCTGCAGATTTGTGTTTAAAAAACATAATCAAAGAAGTACTGTATATAGTTCTATTCATTAGGCTTGACAATTGATAAAACTGCAGATAATGCCATACAACAGGCAACACATGACAACTGATATCTAATATTACATGACTTAAAGTATATGTAATCCAATCCCTAAATTAACATGAAAAAAAAAATGCCTTGAAAGTGGTTGTGGAGTGTTTGCATTGCATCCTCATTCACTTGAATGGATCCTATTCTGTGGTGGTACCGCCTGCTGAGTGTGACAGGAGCAATAATGTTTGGTGAGAAGTAAAGTATCGCAATTTCGACCTGTAAACAACCACATTTGCTGTCTTTGCAGCTTAAGTGGTGGGGTGGGTGGGGGGCTCTAAACACGCAGCTCAACTGTTAGTTTTTAATGCCCCCAACTGGAAGTCTCGTTTTGCGTTTGGGGGGCATGGGATTTCTATATACTTTGAAGGACACCTTTCTACTGCCAATCTGTGCTTGGTGGGCACTGATTGGTTGAATCCCTGCTAATTGCCGATCTCCTCCACTCTTCCTACCACTCCATCCCCCACAGCTATCTCCTCCTGTACCACCATCCCCTCCCTCCTAGATTGTAAGCTCCAAGGAGCAGGGCCCTCGAACCCCTCGTGTATCGAATTGTATTGTTACTGTACTGTCACATGTTCTGTCCCCCTTTACAATGTACAGCGCTGAGCGAACTGTTGGCGCTTTATAAATACTGTATAATAATAATAATCAGTGAGACATAGATAAACAAAATTTCCCACAGTAGTTCATATCTTTCTTCCCTCTCACATGGCAATAGGGTAGGTATCACTCTTTGACATTTAATATTATTTGTTTAGTTTTTTTAATTAAAATCATTTTGTTATAAAAAGTAGCTCTGGGTATCAAAAACGTCAAGGAGTCTACATTTGATATTCTTTTATTTGTTCATATATCTCAACTTACAGTTCATGCAAATGATCCCTGAGCTGTAGTAATTATTAGCAGGGCTTCTCAGAGGAACCGTATTTCAAGGGTTCCTTCAAGTTGATTTGGATTCCAAAAAGGTTGAGAGAAGCTGTACTAGACCATATTTTAACCCTGAGGTTTGTAAAGTCGCTTTTTTTTTCTTTTAAAATAAAAAACATGTTATACTTATCTGCTCTGTACAATTATATAGCACATATCATCCCCGATTCTCCTCTTCTCGGGTCTCCTTCTGGTGTTTCTGGCTCCTCTACTTCTCTGTGTGCCACCATAGGATGCTGCTTCTCTTCCTGCTGGCTCGCTCCTGAGCAGTGCTGCCTGCATCTATAGGCTCGGCCCTGCCCCCTGATCATAAGATTTGACTGACAGCAGTGTGAGCCAATGGCTCCCGCTGCTCTCAGCAAAGCCTGAGAGAGTGGGGAGAAAAGGAGAGAGCCGCTACAGACAGGTACAGCGCTGGATCGTGATGAGGCTTAAGTAATTGAGTAAAGTTAAGTCGTAATACACGTACTCAAAACTTTTTTTTTACTTTAATTCAGGGAATGCATTAAAGCAGAACTCAGGGTAAAAACGTCTTTACATGCCCTTGTTGCTGATATGCTACGTTTACTGAATATGTCATCCATCTTCTGGTTCACTCAGTAGTTGCTCAGAAATAGCCTATCCGTTTTTAGCCTATCTGTTTTAAGACCAGTGGCTGCTATGCCTCCTATTCCCCCAACCACTGGTCTTGGAACATCCCTTCTGTAGTTCTTTCTCCAGAAAGCAGTGATGTAATTCTGCCCCACTTACAGTAGTGGTTGGACTGAGACTCTCAGGCATATTTAACCACTTGCCGTCTGCCTGCTGTTTATAAACGGCAGGGCGGTGGCACTCCAGGGGCGGGTTGCCATTCATAAACAGCGCCCGCCATTTCTAGCTGTTCGCGCTCCCTGGGAGCGCGCAGCACCGCGATCCGGTGCCCGCTGTGTCCTCCGGACACAGTGAAACACCGATCGTCAGACGGGACCTCTGTACGAGGTCCCGATCATGTGATCACTGATTGGCCAATCAGTGATCACATGCAAAGTAGTAAGCAAGATGTCACTTGTGACATCATTGCTTACTACGTGTGAAATCTGTGAATGATCACAGAGGTCACATGGTACAAAGCTATTCACAACAGCCTTGTACCAGGTGACAAGCTGTGACCAATCACAGCTTACTCAGTAGTTCTCAATGGCTGCAAGAATGCAGACAGAGAGAAAGAGAAATGATTGCTTTTACATCCTATATGGGTATAAAAGCAATCACTAAAAAAAAAAAATCTTCATCACCCCCTACAAGTAGTACAGTATCACCATGGTGACACTGTACTGCTAGGGTGACAGTATGTAAAAAAAAAAAAACAATATAAAAAAAATAAAATAAAAATGTAAAAAAAATGTTAAAAATTATAATTTTTGGTTATAAACTAATTTGGCTTATTTTTTTTTTTTTTGCTAAAAAGATAACGGAATAAATTTTGGCCAAGATTTATGATGAAAGATTATTTATTTGCAAAATTTTATAAGAAAAACTTTTTTTTTTCAAAATTTTTGGACATTTTCATTTATATAGAAAAAAATAAAAATCCCAGCAGTGAATAAATACCACCAAAATAAAGCTTTATCTGACTCAAAAAAATGGTAAAAAATTCATATGGGTACAGTGTTGCATGACCGCGCAATTGTCATTCAAAGTGTGATAGCGCTGAAAGCTGAAAATTGCCCTGGACAGGAAGGGGGTAAAAGTGTCTAGACTTGAAGTGGTTAACATGTACATGCCTAGTGTATCTGTTCACATTCACTACAATTCCTTTGCTTCCCGTGCTTGATGGGAACTGTAGTTTCCTTTTACCGCAGAGAGAGCGTAGAGGAGATGATATAATCCCTGCTGTTACACCTCCTGCTTGGCAGAGCAGATGCTGTTATCTTTCGAATTACAGAGATGAGATCATGAAAATTCAATTAGACTTTTCTCCTAAATAGTAAGGATTTTCAAAATTGTTTTAAAGCCGTTGTAAAGGCTAAAGGTTTTTTACCTTCATGCATTCTCTATGCATGAAGGTATAAAAACCTTCTGTGTGCAGCAGTGCCCCCTCAATACTTACCTGAGCCCCATCACGATCGATGTGCACAACAGCCTCGGCTGTCCCGGGTCTTTACCTCCTCATTGGCTGAGAAGGTAAAGCCTTTGGCTTCCGATGCTGTCAATCGCAGCTAGTCAGCCAATAAGGAGAGAGAGGGGGTGGGGGGCAAGACGTGGCTCTGTATATGAATGGACACACCAAACAGCGGGTGCCCCCATAGCAAGCGGCTTGCTATGGGGGCACCCGACAGAAAGGAGGAACCAGGAGAGCTTGCAGGGGACCCGAGAAGAGGAGGAACTAGGCTGCTCTGTGCAAAATCACTGCACACAACAGGTAAATATAACATGTTTGTTATATTACAAAAAAACAAAATGAACCTTTAGTATCGCTTTAACTGTTTAGTGTTTTGTGTAGGGGGGTGTACTAATGGGTAATTTGTTTGCATATCCCAGAGTTCTTCTTTAAGATAAAAAATGTTTAGGCTTTACAACCACTTTAACATGTCCATATCACACCATTGTTTTTGTTTAATTTTTTTTTTTTTTTTTCAAAATTATAGCTTTGTGTTTGTTTGAGATGCTCTGTAACTGTATTTTCATACATCAAATGACTGCACTTTTACATACATTTACACAAAATTTGCCAATGCGCTTCCAGGGTATTTATGGGGCATGTAGGAATCAATGTTTTCATGCCACAGTAGGTACAGTATATCCTTAATATAAGGCCTTGTGTACACCTGTGGCAGTCTTCAAAAAGTAACTACCTTTTGTACCATTAGCCCCCCCTCTTAGATTGTAAGCTCCAAGGAGCAGGGCCCTCCTATCCCTCTTGTATTGAACTGTATTGTTGCTGTATTGTCTCCCGTTTATATTGTAAAGCGCTGAGCAAACTGTTGGCGCTATATAAATCCTGTATAATAATAATAATAAGTGATCATCAGTGGATTACTTTTCAGAGATCTTTTCAGAAACGTCTGACAGGCATTCAGTAATCGATATGGCAGCCTCCTAAATGCCTGTTTGCTTTTGACTGCCAAACAGGGTTTTTGAATGAGAATTCCACTCTGAAACTGTGGGCCTAGCGTTTAGCTCACGGTTGTGGTATGGTCCCATTCACTAGTACTGCCACCGCACGCTACGGGGGTATAATGTTTGCCTTGGCATGTGTACAGCTTCATCTGGCCACGGTGT